TCACAAGGTGAAAACAATGAGAATAATTAATTAAGTATATGAATGTTTTCAGATTAGGAAAACTCAATGGAAAACAGCAAGATCGCAGCTGTTGGCAAAGATGTGTCGCTGTCATTGGTGCTGTCCTGTGTGGGTGAGAGAGCTGGAAGAAACAGATTTTGAAATCCATGTATAGTGTTTTTGTAATGAGTGTTTTCCAATGAGCTTTTTGAAGAACCATCCTACACATGGATTTTAGATTTTTTGTATCCAAATTATTTTTTAATTCCACTGTCCACAGACTTTTGTAAATACCCTTGTTATTGCATCTTTAAATATACATTTATATAAGCATATTCATATATAAAATTCAAGTATATTTTAATATATATTCATGTGATAAAAACAAAAGAGGAATAAGAAAAATAAGAGTTAAAATTTTTTTTAGGAAAAGCAAGAAAATGAGCAACCCAGAGGGTATCTTTTGATTTAAAATAGAAGTGCAGTTTTACATATGCTGTGCAAATCCGGTTGCACAGCAGGAATAACTGATGTGTGAGATTAATAAGTGGATCAGAGGACAGCACAAACACATTGTTGCTACGTTTCTGCAGATGAACTAATTAAATTGATCAAAACTAGACATTGCAATGATGGTTACTGGCTCATAGACAGTAACAGAATCCAGTTGTCTGTGGCCTGTAAGGGACCTGCTCACATTTGACTGAATCAGCCTGCCGTGAGTGAGCAACAGGCAATGGCAATAGAAGAGGAAGTTGATTTTAGAGCAATAGCTTGAGAGAGATACCCAGAGTTCACACTTTGTCATTTGGCAGGTGCGTGGGAGCCATACTGGGATCAGATGGTGAGTGAATCCTTACCTGAACAGAAAAGCAATCTGTTTAAAAAAAAAAACAGCAAAAATACTGTAGAAGTGAAAACAGACTTATACTCAACAGGTGTGATAGCCACATGAAAACACTGGAAATAAGAAATACAGCTACTAAGTCTTAGTTTTACACGAATAAGCCCTGTGGCCTCTCTTGGGCCTTGGTGCATTATCATCAGTACTTGATGTTGGATTACAGGACCGTAAGTGTCCTTTTCAGCTTTAAATTCTGCAAGACTTCAGCATCCCACTATCAGGATATGAAAAAAAAATACAAATAATGCATTAATAAATCATAGAGCTGAATACAGCAAAGAAGACCAAATTAAGTGACAAAGAAAAATAGTAGTAATTAACCAGATTCCTCTTATTTCCTCCTTGCAATGAATGGATGAAGAGAATTTTGGAAACATGTCCTACATTGCTGAAGGAGCTCAGAAGAGAGCCACCTTTCCCTTGCTTGTGTTTTAAATGTTGAGAAATAGCTCAGGGCAGGCATTTGGCACAGTGGGTAAGATGCTGCATGGCACACCTGCACCTCATGCCTCTAGAACACGTGGGATCAGTCACTGTCTCTTTCTGGTCAAGCTTGCTTCCTAATGTGCACCCTGGGAGGCAGCAGGCAAAATCTCAAATACTTGGTTCCTAATCACCCACATGGAGACCCACATTGATTTCTAGGCTTCTAGCTTTTGTCCACGTCAGCCCTAGCTGTTGAAGGTGTTTGGGACTCAATCAGTGGGTGGAAGCTATCTCTGTGGTCTGTATATCACTATCTTTCAAGTAAAAATAAATCAATAAATATTTAAAACAGATTTATGAGACTTACAATAAGAATCCTGAAAATCACCTGTATTGGTGATCAAGACTGAATTGGAGGGGCCTGCTTTAATGTGCCAGCCAAACGGGTTTACTGCCTGGGCTTCACTCACCCTGTATGTCTGTATCTGGAGAATCAGATATACAGAGAGGAGAGACAGAGAGGAAGATCTTCCACCTGATGATTCACTCCCCAAGTGACCACAATGACCAGAGCTGAACCAACCCGAAGCCAGGAGCCAGGAGCCTCCTCCAGGTCTCTTCACGAGGATGCAGGGTCCCCATGCTTTGGGCTGTCCTCAACTACTTTCCCAGGCCACAAGCAGGAAGCTGGATGGGAAGTGCAGCTGCCGGAATTAGAACAGACATCCATATAGGATCCTGGTGCATGCAAGCTGAGGACTTTAGCTATTAGTTTACTGCACTGGGTCAATCAAACTGAACTTGTTTAAAAGTTTTCCCCAAAGGTTTGAAATTTTGTGTGTTGCTTTTTTATTTGAGAAAGAGAGGGGAAAAAATGAGGAAGGGAGAAAGATTTCCCATCCTCTGGTTTACCTTCTAAATACTCAGGACCCACCAGCTGAGTCCAGGCTTCCCAGGTGTGTGTAAGGACCCACCTACCTAAGCCATCATTTGCTGCTTCCTGAGATGAACATTAGCAGGGAGCTGGAGCTGGGGAGTGGATCCCAGACTCCTACCCTTGTGGGGTTTTAATCATTCCAGAAATATACCTTATATTTGGAATTTTGAATTGAAAGGTAGAGATGAGGGAGAATCAAGATGGTGGAATAAGATCAGGACATGTTTAAATAGATGGAGAAATATTAGCCAATGTGAAGCAGAGAGGGCCCATTCCAGGAAATAAAAGAGGACAGAACAACAGCAGAGGGGTACCTGGAGACTGACAGACATAGCAAAGCAGCGGGCACAATAGTGTGGTGTTGTGGGCTAAGGAGTTGATTAGCATTTGTTAAGCTTGGCTCCTGCAGGAAATGGGCTTGGAGGCTAGTGGCACCTGGTCTGTCAGACTCATTAGCATCCGATTGTTCTGCTAGAGGCTTGGGGGAAAGGTATATATGGCTGAATAAAGGGAGGCCAGAGAGACCTCTTCCACCACTACTGGTCTCCTGTCGGTGTCTGATTCCCTGACCCCCGTGTCCATGCTACCGGCTCTGCTGGCCGGAACAGTGTGGTGTTTCAGTGACTGATACCCTAGCGTCATTCAGCAAGCAGTGATCCAAATTGCACCTGCAGTCAAAACTCCACCAGCAACCAGGTGGGAAGGGACTTTCACCGGGAGCTCAGGAGGTGAACCCAAAGAACTGCCTGTCCTGCTGGTCTGTTTGATTTGACCGGGAAAAGAGAGCAGCAGATCCCAGATGGGCAGTGCGGGAACAGGGTGGATTTCACAACCTAGTCCACTCCCTAGAGCTGTATTGGGCACCATTTTGCTTAAGGAGGCAAGGGCTATGGACAGTACTGTGCATGCACTGAGCTGGGAGTGAACTCATTTCTGGCTTAGTGAACTGCAACAATGTGGCAACCTACAGGTTCCACCCAAGGTAGGTTCAAGTAGCCCTCAGACCTGATGGCCAGCAGATCAAGAACTCTAGTAGTGGCACATCAGGCACCATTTTGTATAGTGTGGCAAAGAATTTAAGACGCCAGGGACAACAGAGAGCTTCCCCTACACTGAGCTTGGTAAGAACTCAATGAGCTCATTGCATTGCACATGTCCCACAGAAAAATAATACCAATCGTGGCATTGTACGGGTCAAAATAGGTCTGTGTGGCCCTCAGACCTAATGGCCAACAGGTTCCAGCAAGATCAGCACCACCAACAACCTAGATCTATATAGGATACCTGGTGTCTCCCTAATCCTGGGACCTGCTCCGACTAAAAGTGGGAGAAAGGTTGTACAGACAACGATGCAGCCTCAGCATAGTGGAGACTGGTGAGCCAGGAGCTGGGACTATGGAGACCATGGCAGAAATCTAACATAAGAACCCAGACCTGGGCCCGCCGGCGTGGCCTAGCAGCTAAAAGTTCCTGCCTTGAACGCACCAGGATCCCATATGGGTGCCGGTTCTAATCCCGGCAGCTCCACTTCCCATCTAGCTCCCTGCTTGTGACCTGGCAAGGCAGTTGAGGACGGCCCAAAGCTTTGGGACCCTGCACCCATGTGGGCGACCCAGAGGAGGTTCCTGGCTCCTGGCTTCAAATTGGCACAGCACCAGCCGTTGCGGTCACTTGGGGAGTAAATCATCGGATGGAAGATTTTCCTCTCTGTCTCTCTTCCTCTCTATATATCTGACTTTGTAATAAAAATAAATAAATCTTTAAAAACAAACAAATAAACAAAAGAACCCAGACCTGGAACTCACTGGAGGGAGTGGCAGAAGTGACTACAAAGAACCATGTACCAACTGCAATAGGTAAAATTGAACTATAGACTTGAGGGTGATAGGGTTTAGAAACTGGCCCCAAGGAGAATAGTCTGTTGACCAAAAGTACAATGACCAAGAGCAAAAGGAGAGACAAAGGCACAATGAATATTACTGAAGACTCCCCTGAAAAGGAGCAAAACCCTTTGCCAGCCTCAGAATTCACTGAGGAAATCATCGAGAAAATGGGGGACACAATTTGAAACACTTGTTATAAAACTTCTTATCAATAATGAGAAGCACATAAAACAGGCATTCAGGGAATTTAAGGAATATATCACAATGGAAATGAATCAAATGAAAGCTAATATATCAGAAATGGAGAATACAGTGGAATAAATTCAAAGTATAGTGGAGAGTCCCCAAAACAGAATAAAGAAGGCAGAAGAAAGAATCTCGGAATTGGAAGATATTTACTGTCACCAGGGGAAACAAATAAAAAGCTGGAAGCAGAGCTGTGTTAAGCTAAAAAAAAGTATTCCAAAATTGAAAGACACTATGAAAGGCCAAATATAAGAGTTATGGGAGTCTCAGAATGTGCAGAAAGAGAGGCTGGGCTTACAAATATATTTAGTGAAATAATATGGGAAAATTTCCCTAATCTAGAGAAAGAATTGTGAAACAAGATCCGGGGGGGGGGGGGGGGGGGGGGGGGGGCACAGAACTCCCAATAGGCTGGACCAAAAGTGATCTTACCAAGACACATGATAATCAATCTCTCTTCAATTGGACATTTTGGTCAATAGCTTGGCATGATACTGCTGGCAGATATTGTTCGAAACTGAAAGACTCGTTTGTATGAATAAAACTGTAATGTTACTGAGCCTTATACTAATTCTCTCTTCTCCCCTCTTTTTTCTCCCTTTAGATTTTACATTGTGCTATAGGTAAGTGTGGAATTTTCTCTATAATATGTACAAGTGGGTTCTACTTTTTCTTTTCCTTAAGATGATAGGTTTGAATCTTACTGAATATTTTTAAAAAAACAAAACCATTTAGCCGTGATAAACAACATTGTTTAAATTAGAGTGGCTTTTTGTTTCTAAAGTCGCGGACAGTGTTTACAGTTATCACTGAATATTTTATTAAATGTCACAGCTGTTTTGCCATGTCAGTATGTCCCACCTTAGGAATACAAGGGAAGTAAAGAGTGGTGAATATATTTATAAGAACGTGACCTTCGTCCTGGTGCTGGCGTGTGTTGGGAAAGCTCCTCTGTGATCATTAAAGTGATGCCTGCTCTGTGCTAATCTTCAAAATGAGAGTGCGGCCCGTGTTGCCTGCCTCCCAAATGAAACTTGTTTGTACGTGGGAGGAATAGAAAAGTGTAATGGGTCATCCAAATGTAAGGAATTTCTAAAACAAGCAGATGCAAACATTGTCTTTTGTGAAGTGAGGTGAGTCATCACATTTTGTTCTGAAGCCGCAGGCATAGTGTCTAAGTCTCGGATGGCCAAACCCCACGCATCACGGAAGAATCCATTGTGCAGAGTTGCCTTATCCCAGGGAGCAAGCAGTTAGTCACAAACACTGCTGCGTGTTCTGGCCTTGCCTCTCAGGCTGGACCTCAAGTTGATATTTAGAATTAGAATCCCCAAAGGGCTGAAAACATGAGAACCATAAATCTAAACCACTACAGCCCCAATCATTTCAACTCACAACTAAAGCAGATACTTAAATCATTACAGGAGTTGCAACTCTGCTAACCTCCCCCTTCTTACCTGGGCCTGTAGGTGGCATCTCTCAAATGATCAGCAGTGTTTGGTGCACCTGTTGCTGGGCTCATTTTGGGTAACAGGGACAACTCATAGCTTTCACTAGATTCTTGTTGGAGAAACGTTGTTTCAGAAATCTCTGAATAGATTCTGAAGGATCGAGGACTCGAGGACTCACGTCTTTTGCGGTCTGCCTTCCCAGGGAGACAGTGTGACCTCAGAGAACTTTGTACAGTGTGTAGAGCCAGGGCAGCCAGCTCTCTGAACCTGCCGGGCTGACTTCGTGCCATGATGAATGAGTTCTAGCTCATGTGCAGTTTGGCACATAGGTCTTTTTAGTCCTGTGTCTATAGTATTTTATAGATTTGAACAGCGTTACCCCTTCTTAAATGGTGAAATAAGTGAGGAGTGTCTGATGGGGCAATGTCTGAACTGCTTCAGGGTTTTGAACCCTGAACTCTGTTTTCCTTTGCTCTCCTAAACTCAGCTGCCTCTTGTAGAAAAGCTCTTGGCTGCATATCTTCTATTTCTTTCACTCTGAACTGCTGTGACGGCCCACAGAACTTAGCGCTCATTCTACTTGCAATTTTTCTGGACAAAATGTGGACGTTCAGTAAAAAGCTATACTTCCAGTTTTGATTGCTTTCCGCAGGCTGGCATCCTGTGGTATCCCTGTGGCTACACTGCGCAGAGCAATAGCCATGACTCCTGGTCAGCCCTCGATCAAGAGGGGAAGCCATGAGACCCTGCAGGGCATGGTGCTGCTGAGCTGAGCCCTCTTGTCAGTACTTCACCTTGTCAGGATAGCTTCACCTTACAGTTGCTTGTTGCGATGTGATTTCATCAAAAATCAAGGAGCACCTATACTATAAGCTGAGTGGCTCAGAAACTACGGATGTTTGTTTTCCAGTTTGGGGGCTGGAAAAACCATGCTGCACCAGTAGGGTCAGGGGCCTCCCTCCCAGACAGTGCCTTCCCATTGTATCCTCCCATGGTGAAAGGGCTGACAAGTTCCTTGGGACCTCTCTCCTGGGGGGGACCGGTCATGTTTGTGGGGGCCCTGGTGACTTGATCATCTCTCCTAAGGACCCCAGTGCTCGATTCCACTGTGTTGGGGGTGGGTTTCATCCTAGGACGTTTGTGGGAACACACACACATTCACATTGCAGCACTGAGTGATTACTGTTCTTGTGACTATCCATTTGTATTTTCATGGCCCAGATCCCTTTGCCTGTTTAAGAATATGCTCCTAAATCCCTTTATAAAATAGAGGTTTCATCCTGGAAACAAGGTTCCTGGCAAGTGCATTTTGTTTCTCCATGCCAGAAATAGTCCAACACCCAGCAGTCAGGGATGCTGTGTGTAGCATTGGGCAGCAGGAACAGAGAGGTGATGGGGACCCAGTATGGGCTCAGAAGACATAGTGAACAGGGCACCCCTCTGAGGCTCTCTGGCATAAAGCACTCAGGGCTGGTGTCTTGGCAGGCTCTGCTGGGAATGGGGGTGGCTGTCAACAGATTTGCTTCCCCCTCAGATGGTTCCTCAACTGCTCTCCTTTGCATCCCAGGACCTGACATATACAGGTGGCACTTGGACCATTCTCATTTCCTCCGGAGCCTTGCCCTGTCCATGCCTCTTCCTGCCCCAGATCAGGACACTGCACTCTGCCTTTGTCTTAGCTCACAGAATGCCCAGAATGCCACATCTTTTTTTTTTTTAATTATTTTTTTAATAATCTTACTTAGTTGATTAGGGTACAAAGGGTTAATGGCTACAGGGTGAAAGTGGGTAATACCATTGTTTCCACACTAATATTATCATTTTTCCCTGTATCTGGGGTTAGGGGAGTAACAAAGGGAAAAGCCCCACCCAGCCTCCCACCCATCCCAGATCCCCAATGGAAGGTGCGCTCCGAGGGTCCTGCTCAAACAGTTTTGATAGCATCAGTTCTGGATTGCTGCCAATCTCGCACTTCCAATCACAATGAAACCTATTCAGAGTCCACTGGCTGACAGTCTCTTGATGGTTGGGGTTCTGAGATCAGCAGTTCAGTTGGAGGGATCTCCAAAGAAACTTCATCTGAGATGATCCCAGACCTGATTCTTGCGTGAGTTTGCTAGTACAGACTCCAACACCGTCTGTCACACCAATCAGCTTATGCACATGCTGGTCGTTGCGATTGCTAGGTCAGTTCTGTTTCCAGCCCTGTCTTGCCCGTGAACCAACGGGTGTTGTAGTCCAGGTCGATCCTACCCACTTCATACTCGGTCTTCATGCAAACCAGTTGGAGCTGCAGCCTAGTTGGGGCGACTCCCCATAACCCCCACCAGTTCTTCCCCCCACCCTGGTTCCCATGCTTGCCAGTATGTACCGCAGGCTTGTCCAGTCTGTCCCATATCTCATTTAGTTCTCGCACATGTCAATGGGCATTGAAGCCTAGTTCAACCCAACCAACCTACTATCCAGCCCATACACCTACTGGCATGTGCTGTTTTGTCTAGCCATCCTTGCCCCTGTCCTGGTTTTTGTGCTGTCCAGTGAGAGTGGTAACCCCAAGGGAGATGCCCACTATTTCCCTACTAGGCCACACCCACTCCCAGATTATGCACTCTCCAGGTGGTTCTGGCATTTGACTTGACAGAATTAGCTCCTAGTGCCAGCCTCTGCCAGCTAATGCTGCGGCTAAGCCCAACCAACCCTCACCCACTCTAATTTTTGCTTGTACCAGTCGGAACAGTCAGCCCACCATGGCCCTTCCCTTATCCAGCTCACATGAGGCCCACAGGTGTTATAGGTCTGCCTGGTCTGATCTGCCCCATCCTGACTCGCGCTTTCCAATGGAAGTAGTTGTCCAGCAGGGGAGCCCACATTCCCCTGTCACAGAATGCCACATCTTTAAAAATGTCTAGCCTAACCTTTGGTTCCACATCCCCCTCTTACATCACTTGATTCCCCTCTGTCCTTTCCTTAGACTTGTGGCAGCTTCCTTCTTCCCCATTTCCATTTGCACCTGTCGGAGCACTTGGCTCTCCAGCCTCTTCTGTGCAGATGACCCTGTGGTCCAAACCCAGCAAGTTTGCTGAATGCCAAAAATGCTATTGGAACTTACTAGTCTTCTAGGCTTCCCTGAGCTCCTGCCCCTTTGCTTCCATTGTATTGATCCTCCCACCCCTGGTTTTTCTTGCCATCTGTGGCTCTTTCCTTTCTTCTGTGGGGGCCCCTCTCTCCTCTGACCTCTAACCACGGGTGTCCCCAGGGTTGTGTCCTATTCTATGGTTCTTCTGATTGAACTCATCTGCTGTAGCTGGTGTGTTCTATCCTCAAGAAACGAGGTGTTCACAATATCCTCACCTTTAATTCCAGGCTGCACCTGTACCCAGACCCCAGATATCTGTGCTAGGAGACATATGGACAGAAAGCTCCATCCCTACACCGGCTCTGCCTCCTGTCCTTGCTCTGTCAGGTGTGCCGTTAGCTACCAGTCACAGCCATTGAGCCTGTGTCCCTTACCTGCAGCCCAGTGGTCATCAGGCATTCCTCAGGCTGTCACGTTTGCCCATCCCTGTTGAAGTGCTCAGTGAATGCAGTGCTCACCTCCCATTCCAGTTAACAAGTTTGAGGCTTGGGAGGCGTCCAGTCTCAGTTCTCATCACAGGCAAACATTAAATAGTTGGTGTATTCATCAGCTTGAACATTCTTCAGTGGCTACACATTTTGGAATATCATGTTGAATGCCGTAAAGATAGATTATTATATATCCGTTTTAAAAAAATAAAAGTAATTGTCATGTCCTGCCAGGGTCCACACAGCCAGAAAGACCTAGAGCCCAAGTTGAAGCCAGGGCTGTGGGGTTCTTGTCCCATGTTCCACACTGCTCCTGAAGGCTTCTGGGAGGTGGTGATTCAGAGCAGTCACCTCCTGCACGCAGCCCTGGCTGGTTTACCCAGGACCTGGATCCTGGCCACTTGTGCAGTCTTACCTGTGCTCCCCACACCCTAGCAGCTCGCACTTTGTTGTGAGGTGGCCACATTCCCCTTTGCCCTACCAGCCTCTGGGGCTGCCCAGGCTCTGCTTCCGGCCTGCAAGGCCTAGCCCATCTGCTTGGCTGCTGCTTCCCACTCAGACCTCCTCGCTGGCCACCCTCTGACTGCCTCCTCTCTCACTGACCCTCC